AGCCCCCTTGTGTCCTTTCCCTGGGTCTGGACCCTCGCAGACTGAAGGTTGACTTGGCCACTTGTCACTTGGCCACTGAGGAGAAGGTTTTTCTCCATCCATCCTGCACATCCCATGCCATCCCTTCCCTGCTGGGAGCCGTCCCGGTCTCCCGTGGAAGGACGTGATGTCGGTGGTGGCACAGGGTGACACGGAGCTGGCCCCAGCCCTGCTATGCTTTGGGGTTTAGCAGTGGGGTCCTCGTGCAGGTCGGGGGGGGGGTGTCACCCCACATATTTCATCAGTGCCTCCCCCCAGCACAGGGCTCAGCAGCACATCCCAGCACTCAGGGAGCCAGTGTAGGGGGGCAGAATATTGGATTGCAGCAGATGGGGGAGTGTCTGGGCACAGGGTGGCCCAGGCAGAGCTCCAAATGACACCGGGTGACAGCTACACCACAAAGATGTCTCTCGTATCAGCTGCAGAGGCAGCACTCCCTTAAAGAAACACCAAGCCCCCCACCTCCCAGGGACATGCTGTTGTCCTTGGGAGATGCAGCCGACCAGGTTCTTTGCCCCCTGGACCAGGTTCCTTGCCCCGTGTGGTACCACAGGGGAAGATGCCACCAGGAGAAGGTGCTATAGGGGTGGGGAAGGTGCCCAGCTCCCCCAGAATATTGGATTGCAGCAGATGGGGGAGTGTCTGGGCACAGGGTGGCCCAGGCAGAGCTCCAAATGACACCGGGTGACAGCTACACCGCAAAGATGTCTCCTGTATCAGCTGCAGAGGCAGCACTCCCTTAAAGAAACACCAAGGCCCCCCCTCCAGGGACACCCCGTTGCCCTTGGGGGATGCAGCCGACCAGGTTCCTTGCCCCCTGGACCAGGTTCCTTGCCCCGTGTGGTACCACAGGGGAAGATGCCACCAGGAGAAGGTGCTATAGGGGTGGGGAAGGTGCCCAGCTCCCCCAAGGGGACATTCAGCTGCTGGCACAGGGAAGGTGTGAAGATCCCCAGATGTATAGGTTGCAGCTGGGTTATTTTGGAAAGGGACAGAGCCGATCTTGTGACCGGAGCTGGGGACTGCAAGTCTGGACAGCAGGGTCCTGCCTGAGTGACAGCGACCCGCTGCCTGACCTCGGGGAAACCCGAGAGCCCCCACCGTGCTGGGGACAGCTTTCACACCCCTTCCCACCCCCCCCATCCAGGCTTGTTCTGTGATGATGAAAACCAAGCACCGGGCAGCGACGTGGCTGGGGACAACACGGGAAACCGGGGACAGACCCCAGGCCTGGTTGCAAATCTGTCTCCAACTTGATGGCATCCCTGTGGCCGGGCCACCCGCCATCCCCAGGGCTGTCCTGGAGGTGTATCCCATTTTTTTTACAGCTGTGCCACCTGTGTTGTGGCCAGGACAGGACCATCCCAAGCCACCGCGGTCCCCCAGGTCCCATGGGTGGGTGCCGGGAGCAGACGGAGATGAAGATTTTCTGCAGGCCCCGTCTCCCTCAGGCTCAGCAGCCTGAATGCCAGCAACGCCTGCCAAAATATTTGTGTGGGAGGTGGAAAGTTAACTTTAGTTTTCCTTTTTTCAATGGCGGGGGGTTGGCAGGGTGTGAGAAAGGCAGGCGGGGGGGGGGAGGGAGGGCTGTGCATCACCCGCCAGCGAGTGGGCAGGGAAAGATAACCGAGCAAAAGGTCTCCCTGCTGCCAGATTTTAGCACTTTGTGAATTGAAGGATTTTTTTTTCTTCATTTTTTTTGTATTCTTCCCTCCCCTGGCACCATTTTGCAGCTTCTCGTAGGGACTCGCTGCTGCCGGGAAGCGTGAGATGCTTGACTGGGAGAGCTTGCTGGGGCTGGGAGCTGGACACTAAATGCCCGACTGGAGCATCCCTTGCTCCCCAGTTTGGGGCTGCACCCCTGAAAGGGTCCCCAAAATGACCCTCACGTCCCTTTACAGCCATGTTCTGCAGGCAGGGGGTTGTTATCTCAGCCTGGTTTTGTGGATGTGGCTGGCGATGCTGCTCCTCTGGTGCAATGATGTGCCCAGGGCATATATATATATATATAATATATATATTTATGTGTATATATATATATACCCATCCAACCCGGCCGGTCTTCCAGCAGACAGGATCAGCCCCGCAGCTTTTTCTAGAGATGCACTTTACCCTTAACTATTCCCTTCCCCTGCTGTTTCCAGAGCCCAAGAGCCGTGTCCCGGGGGGAAGGCGGCTCCTCCAGCGGCAGCTCCATCCCCGTTCCCCCGCCGCGGTGCCGGGCTCAGACTGGCCCCCAGCGAGACACCAGCCGTGTGACTCGGTATCTGGGTGGCGTGGGCGGCCCCGTCCCCACAGCGTGTCCTCGAGGGAACGCCGCCACCGCTGCTGGGGTCTCGCCAAAGGAGGGGTTTGCCTGGGGAACGCTGGGATCGTGGGCGCCCCTCCCCAGGATATGCCCATCTGCAGAAAACGTTCCTGACGTGGAAGGGGGCGGCTTTGGAAGATGGTTTTTGGGGCGGTACGGGCTCACCCAGCAAACTGTCAAGGCAGCTCTGGTGTAGGATGGGTGGGAGTCGTGCTGACCAGGAAACCTTCTCCCTATGGATGGGGAGAGGGGGTGGGAGCGGGCAGACGGCGGAGCTGCTCCAAGGGGGTCTCTGATGACCTGCTCTGGGCTGGGGCTATTTTAGGCAACTTTGTCCTCGTTCGAGATAAGCCAGCACCCTCCAGCTCCCACAACTTGCCGTGTTTCTAAGGAGAGATGTGGGTGGCTTCCTGCAACTCCCGGGGCCCCGAATTACATAAAGAGCAGGGTGAGACTCCTTTTTCAGAGAGAAACATTGACATTTCCTCCCCTCCCCTGCCAGGATCTCTTTGCAAATCCGGGTTGAATAATTGCAGCAGAGCAAGGCAGGAGGGAAGATTTCAGAAAGGGCAGAAGATTTCCTTTGGGCATTCTCAAAAAAAAACCAAAACCAACCATGCAGCCTTGTGTTGGGGAAATGCCCCAGCGTCTCTCCAGCAGCAAAGCTTTCACTGGCTGTTTCCAATCTGCCTTATTTTCCCAAATAACCTTGATAAGGAAGGGGAAAAGTTTTGCAGACAAGCTGCAGGGTGTCTTCCCGCCTGAGCTCAAGATCATGGCGTTGACCTAGTGCATTTTCTCATTTTGCTGAAAAACGGTGCAGTGACTCTGGGAGGGTTTTGGGTCTTGAAGAAACCTCTTCTCCTCCTCAGCAGGCTGTTAGGCTGGGAAATCCAGCACGTTCCCAGCGGCAGCGATACCCAGTGGGTGCTTCCTGGGGATCCAGCCTTGCAGGGAGCGGGACTGGGTGATGCTGGGGAGGACTCACGGCACAGGAATTTCCCCCCCATGCTGTAAACTCGTATCCTGTCCCGGGAGCGATGACATCCCCCCTCTCCCAGCTGATACCTGGCCTCTCTCTCAGCTGTGGCGGGGTGTGTGTTCGTCATTTGTCGGGATTTGTGCTCGGCAGAAGGGAAGCTGGGTCTGTCTGCGCTTGTCCCGGCGCTGCGTGAGTCACTCAATGGTTAAACGCAGCTTTATTAGCTGGATGCGGGGGGAATTTTGCTTTCCAGCAGGATGGAGGTGGGAGCCAGGGCTTCTGCTAACCCTGAGCAAACCCTGTCTGCAGGGAACGGGCTTCTTCCCTGAATGCTCCCACCTCCATCCATGTGGTCGTCCCCCAGTGCTGCCCACAAACCGGGGTGTCCCCAGCAACGGGAGCCCATCAGTGGGGTCCAGCCCTGGGTGCTGTCCCCAGGATGAGGACGGATGGAGGAGGGTGCTGGAGGGGCTGCTGGATTAGGGGGGCATATCCAAAGGAGCTGCAAAGGAGTGGTGGCATCTCAGGGGGTCCTGTCCTCATGGAGCTGGAGCCCGGGCTGGGGACACCGGGAGCTGCTCCGCTGGAGGACATCAGTGCATGTACAAGCATCCTCAAAACTCCCTCTTCCCTTCACACAGGTCCTTGAACGCTGCTCCTCTGCCTGCCTGGACAAGAGAAATTCCTGAAAAATCCTCCTTGGTGACGTCTGTCCTCCAGGCAAACCCCTACGGCTGGATCTCCAAGAGCTGCCCACTCCTTAGATCCTACTGCCTGCAAGAGGAGTAAAGCTGGGCTTGTGCCCGGCACGTGGCCATCTTCCCTCTGGGAGGCTGCCCGTGCTCCGAGGGACACCGCCGGGCAGGAGCCACCCCCCTGGCCATGCGGAGAGGGTTTGAAAGACCACGGAGATACAGCGAAGGAAAGTGGGGAAGATGCTGAAGGCAACGCTCTGTCAGCCATGCCCGCAGACCCAGCCCGGTGAGGCTGTGCCAGACCCGTGTGCCTGCAGGATGGACCAGGGGGACACCGAGGGGGACACCGGCTGTTGGCAGGAGAGGGGGAGCAGAGGGGGGCAGAGGTGCCATCACCTCCCAGATGCCTCCAAGACAGTCACACAGGAGGGATGGAGGGGACCGCTGGGAGGGAAGGCAAGTGGGAACCACTGGCGAGAGCCCGGGGGGCTTAACAGGGACGTGCTGGTTCCCACATTGGATGCCAGCAGCCTGGCCTTGGTGGCTGAGCCCACAACCCCCAGAAAATGCCCCGACTCTGCCCCAGAGCTAGCCCCTGCAGCTGCCAGCCCCACAGCCGACCCCAGCCAGGAGTGGAAAGTGGTGAAGATCCAACGGGTCCTCATCAACCCCACCAGCGAGCCGAGGAAAGCGGGTAAGAGAAACCCCCTTTGACCACCATCCCACACCCCAAAAAGCGCTGCTGTGACCCCAGCGCCGGGGCTGCCGCTGCCTGGCACAGCGGTGGGAACGCCCGGCTCTTCCCAGGGCAGCATCTCCGCTGGGTTAGAGGTCCCAGGCTCCCAGCTGAGATGCTGGGACTTTTTTAGCTTGAGATGATCTCTCTGGCCTTAAAAATAGGGGGACACCGAGGGGGACACCGGCTGTTGGCAGGAGAGGGGGAGCAGAGGGGGGCAGAGGTGCCATCACCTCCCAGATGCCTCCAAGACAGTCACACAGGAGGGATGGAGGGGACCGCTGGGAGGGAAGGCAAGTGGGAACCACTGGCGAGAGCCCGGGAGGCTTAACAGGGACGTGCTGGTTCCCACATTGGATGCCAGCAGCCTGGCCTTGGTGGCTGAGCCCACAACCCCCAGAAAATGCCCCGACTCTGCCCCAGAGCTAGCCCCTGCAGCTGCCAGCCCCACAGCCGACCCCAGCCAGGAGTGGAAAGTGGTGAAGATCCAACGGGTCCTCATCAACCCCACCAGCGAGCCGAGGAAAGCGGGTAAGAGAAACCCCCTTTGACCACCATCCCACACCCCAAAAAGCGCTGCTGTGACCCCAGCGCCGGGGCTGCCGCTGCCTGGCACAGCGGTGGGAACGCCCGGCTCTTCCCAGGGCAGCATCTCCGCTGGGTTAGAGGTCCCAGGCTCCCAGCTGAGATGCTGGGACTTTTTTAGCTTGAGATGATCTCTCTGGCCTTAAAAATAAGGAGGAATCCGTGGCTTTTCTCGGGAGGGGGATGGGAAGGCAGCGGGTGGGTTCCCACAGGCTCTAGGAGCCCCGTGGAACCCCGAGCAGGGCACGAGCAGGGTGGGCTTCCCAGCCCTCACCCTGGCCTCGGGGCTCATTAGGACCCTGACGAAGAGGGGGTAATCAGGACCAGCTCCTGGGCGACTGCCTGGGACAAGGACAACTCTCCCCAGTCCGTTGGTGCGGGGACAGCGGAGCATTCGTTACGTGGCTTGGGGCCATCTCTCTTTCAGCCCCTGGTTTAAAAATTAAGCGCTTTATTTCGGGCCAGTTGGTTCCTACAATGCTCCCTGCTCTCTCCTCGTGTCACAGCCCTGTTTCACAGCCCTTCCCTTCTGCCACCCTTCAGCCCACCCTTCAGCCAGGGTGACACAAACACAAGGCACATATCTAGGGTGACCGCAGAGCTCCCCACCCGGGGGAGATGCTCCCAGGGGATTAGACCCATCCTCTTACAGGCATCAAACCCATTTTTAAACCCCGCTTCCACCCTTCTTTCTATTTTGCTCCTGCCCAGCTGTTATCTCAGCTGCCATGCGGCGCCGGGGCAGGTGTGTCACTGTCCCCATGGGACGGCGTTATCGGATGCTGGGGCTCTGCTCACAGCCTGGTTTTCCCAAAGCAGCCCCAATGATGGGGAGGAACGAGACTGGCTGGGGATGCTCGACGTGAATCCGGTGGCCAGAATCTCTTCCCCTGCTTTTTTGGGGTGTCAGGAGTCCTCTAAACCGGCAGCCTCCTGGATGGGATGAGGGCTGGGAAGCTGAGCCAAGCCCTTTGGCTCAGAGCTCCCCGGCCCAGCGTCGTGTTTCAGGGCTCAGCACACAATCCAGGCGGTCCCAAATAGTCTTCCCATTTCTCACTCTGCTCTGGGATAGCAGATCTCCAGCAGGGAAAGGTCAGGCCTGACTCTGTCCAGGCTCAGCATTTTCCTAACCCGCACCGCCATCCATTTTTTTTTTTTTTTTTTTTTTGCTGCCAGCCTGGAATTTTAAAGTAACTCAACAGGTTTGTTGGAAAGAGTTTGTCTGTCCCGTTTCCTCCCCCTCCAAGTGAGATCACCACCAGCCACTGCCTGCGGGATCCGTCAGACTTTCCAGAGCCTCCGGGCAGGATGTTGCTGAGGGTCCTGAGCTCCGGCAGCGGCGCCAGGACCTCATGAAAAACCTTGTGAAAAACTTTGGGTTTGGGAGGGAGAGGTTTGGTTCCGAGCAGGGACGGTGGCAGGGGAGGGAGGGAAGGGCAGATCCCTGCGCAGGTGGCATCGGGGCTGCCTCTGGGGGTGTTTGCAGGAGCATCTCTGGGAGGTGTCAGGGATTTGCTCCTCTTCTCCTTAGCTGGCTGGGGGTAAAATAACCCCCACCCCTGCAGGAGAAAGGGGTGCATCCATCTGCACCCAAAATAGTGCCTGAGAGCTGGCAGCCAAGTGGGTGGCCCCCTCCCCTTCCCCAAAGAGAGGTGCAGACCCACTCAGGCAGGTCCCGGGTGCCCCTTTGGTCCCCATCCAGCAGCCCAAGGCCAGGCTGGCTGCTCCCAAATATCCGGCCCAGCGGCCCGAGCTGGTTGGCACCTCTTGGGGCGGGCAGGGGAGCGCAGGAGCCCCGGGTAGAGGCAGGGGCTGGGAGATGCAGGAGGCAGGACTGGTTTCTCTGTCTGCTGTGCAAATAAACGGAAGGTTTCGCTCCCTGGGGGCTGCCGAGCCAGCGCCAGTCTCCCTCAAAAACCAGAAAAGTGCAAAAAAAGCCAAGAAGGGCAGGAAGAAAGGAAATTAGAAAGGCAAAAAATAAGGCCGAGAGCTCATCCTGCGGTGTGGATGGGCACAGGAAGGGGGTGAGGCTGGTCCCACCCTCAGCGGTGCCCCCCCGTTGCCACCCCCAGCTCTCAGAGGTGATGCTGGCTCCCCATCTCTCCCAGGGCTGTGGTTCCACCCTCACTGGGAGCAGACCACCCCTGGGAGAGGGCTTTCCGTGCTCTTCCCAGAGGGTCCCCAGGGTGGTGACACCGGTGCTGGATTTCTGCCCCAGCTCCCAGTGCCCCAACTCTTTAGGCAGGGGGGGGGGGGGAAAGTGGCAGCGAGGGGAGACCCTGCTTACCTCCAGGTGAGGTGCTGCAGGTCCCCAGCAGTGCTGGGAGGAGGGAAAGGGGGTGAGGGGGGGGATAGGGGGAATGGTAAGGGCTGGGAAAAGGGGGATGTGCACGGCAGGGATAAAGGGAATGTCCCGGGATGGAATAAGGGGATGCACAGGGCAGGGATAAGGGGGTGCACAGGGCAAGGATAAAGGGGATATCCCATGATGGAGTAAGGGGATGTGCTGGGCAGGGATAAGGGGGATGTGCAGGGCTGGGTAAGGGGGATGCCCCAGGATGGAATAAGGGGGTGCACAGGGTAGGGATAAGGGGG